TCTCCATCAAATCTCCCATTTTTACAATCTTTTCTCCCTCCAAGCTTCTTCTCCTGCTTCTCGCCTCTTCTTTTCTTTTTTTCGTTTCAAATGCAAGAGCTACAGTAGATCGGACGAAGGGGAGAGCTGGGTGACATTGGATAGCTTGACATGGGGAGACAACGACGAAAGTACAGACCAAGAAACTTTGAATGACTTGAGAAGATCTAATTTTCTTGATCTTTTTCTTGATTTTTTGGTGTGTTTTCGAAAAAAAAGAGTCGTCTGTCTGACAGACAACTGTAAGTGCAGTGTCTGTATTTGTTAGTAAGACTCGTGAAGTTGTTTGTCATTTGATCGTTAGTTATCTGTATTTGTTTCGAGTTTTCTGTCATGTTGTTGTGAGAAGTCTGTAAGAGTCGTGAAGCTGTCTGTCTGTCTGTAATTGATGGTTAATTATCTGTATTTGTTTTGAGTTGTCTGTATTTGTTTTGAGTTGTCTGTATTTGATTGTGAGTTGTCTGTATTTTGTGATGTTTATTTTTTGAGATGTAATTAGTATAATGAGACAGACATTAAATATACACATCCAGACAATAAGTATACACATACAGACATTACTTTATTGTGAATTACATTTTGGAATATGTTTCATAAAGAAGACAAACAATACGTATAACTAGACAGACAATAGAGATAACGAGACAGACATTATTTTCACCACAAATTACATACAACTCACAATGAAATGACAAACAACTAAGTATGAGTTACAGACAACTTCACAACTCAAAACAATTACAGACAACTAACAAACAAATGACAAACAATTAAATATCAATTAACGACATTTATTTTTCAAATGACAAACAATTTCATGACTCTTACAGACACTGCACTTACAAGTTGTCTGTCTGACAGACAACCCTTTATATTTCGAAAATACATCAAAAATGAAGAAAACAAAATCAAGAAAAGAAGATCTGTCGCTCAAATTATTCAAAGCTTCTTGGTTTGCCTTCGTCGTTGTCTTCCCTTGAGGTTGCATCCGAAATAGCAACCAACGTAGGCCCGCCGTCGGCAACCGGCGTAGACCCGCCGTCGGCAACCGGCGTAGACCCGCCGTCGGCAACCGGCGTAGACCCGCCGTCGGCAACGTCACCGGTGGAAGTGGAGATAAGCAGTAGAAGATTTAAGGTTGGAAGGTGGAAAAATGGTAAAAATGGGAAAGATTTTGAGATGGAGAAGAAAGGGGAAGGGAGGGGGTGCGTGAAAAGAGGAGAGGGAGGGAGGAAGAGAGGTGGGGTGCAGGAGAGAGGAAGGGGGAGAAGAAAAGTGGTGGTGGGTTTTTATATGGGGTACAAATGGGGTAGAGTTTGAGATACCTATAGCAAAATTGTTTACTTAATAGCGTGCAAGACAAAATGCTGTTTCAATGATGTTTGACGGGAAAAGCAGGCATAACTAGGCTGTTCTGTCTACACCTAGCCAGGCAGATGAGAACCATGACCTTGACAATAATCTTTGCTTAATTCCATGCCCAAATAGCCCTGCAGCACTATGGATTGAGTGCGCAAGTCAGTTCTCCTCTGTTTCAACTTCATTTACTCAGCATCAGCATAGATCTCTCATTAATAAGGCTACTCAGTCTTATTAGCAGAAGCAAAAGAATAACAAAAATGCTATGTGTACACACCGGGTTACACGGCAACGTACACAGCACAAAAAGCCCTCACCCCCTTACCGTATTAACCCTTCCATCTCCTTTCTTTCTTTTCCTTTTTCCTCTTCCTCCTTGCGCCCAAATTCCTTCTCCCTCTTTTCCCCTTTTCTTTTTTCTTTTCTCTCCCTCCCTGCGCCCAACATTCTCCAACCTCTTTTCCTCTTTCCTTCTCCCTCGTAAATAACTCCTCTCTTTATCTCCCTTTCTCCATCTTTTTTCTTTTCTTTTCTTGTTTTCTTCAATTCAAAAGCTCTCACATTTTTGCAGATCTAAATCCGCACAGAAAAACAGGAGGAGTCACAATTGAATCTACTTTGTTCTCTCAAATATTATTCATGAGGTAATACTTTATTTCATATTTTTTGTGCATTTAGGTGTATATTTTCCCCCTTTTTAATTTTATTTATACAAAATATGTTGTGGTGATGTTGATGAATGTTTATTACAATGTGTATAACATTGCCAGATGAATAAAGTATTACCTCATGAATAATATGAAATAAAGTATTACCTCATGAATAATATTTGAGAGAGCAAAGTAGATTCAGTTGTGACTCCTATTTTTCTGTGCGGATTTAGATCTGCAAAAATGTGAGAGCCTTTGAAATGAAGAAAACAAGAAAAGAAAAGAAAAAAGATGGAGAAAGGGAGATAAAGAGAGGAGTTATTTATGAGGGAGAAGGAAAGAGGAAAAGAGGCCGGAGAATGTTGGGCGCAGGGAGGGGGAGAAAAGAGGGAGAAGGAAGTTGGGCGCAGGGAGGGAGAGATAAGAAAAAAGAAAAGAGGAAAAGAGGGAGAAGGAATTTGGGCACCAGGAGGAAGAGGAAAAAAGGAAAAGAAAGGAAGGAGGGGGGAGAGGTTAATACGTTAAGGGGGTGGGGGCTTTTTGTGTTGTGTACACTACCGTGTAACCCGGCGTGTACACGTAGCATTTTTTAAAGAATAAGGCCATTCAGTCTTCCTTAACTTGTGAGTATTTATGTAATGTTTCCTAAAATCTAGCAATGTGTAACTTAAGCAAATGTGTTCCTTGGTGAAGAAATCCTGGTATAGGCTCTCTTCTTTGTACACTATCAAATAAATGTTGGACGATCCAAAATTACTACTCCCTCCATCCAATTTAAAGGTTTTCACTTTCTATTTAGAAAACAATTAACACTCCTAAACAACAATTTCATAATCAAATATTAAAAATAATACTATCTATATTTATAACACCATAGTTATCATAATGACTAATTATATTATATACTCATCAAAATTATTTCTCAAAATATACTCGAATTCGCATATTTAATTATTGTTTACATAATCATGTCATTTTGTCATGAGAACTTTTAAATGAGACGGAGGTGATAATTCGTTATTGAATTTCTTCTTTCTAAGTGGTAAGCACGGATAAATGCACATAGGGAAAATGAAAAGGGCTTTTTACATGAATGTTACTAATTTAAAACCAATTTCCAAAAATTTGACCACTTTTCCGTTCAAAAATAAATGTGACCACTTTTACATAGGGAAAAACATAATTTTGCTAGATTTTTATGTCACTGTTAGTTTTTTAAGTCACTGATTTTATGTCACTTTTAAATGACACTGTTGGTTTTCATTTCACTTTTATATGTCACTTCCGCCATCATACGTGTCACTGTGCCGCTGTCATACGTGTCACTGTGTCACTAACCATCTCCGCCCAAACCTTTGGTCACAGTGACATCTCCACCGCAGTGTCACTACCGCCAGAGTGTCATTGTGATTGCCGAAACCCTAAATTTAAACCAAATTTGGCCACCACACGGCCACACCAATGCTACCTCCCGAACCCCCACACCCGCCCCCTCTCCAGCCCACCAGCCCCCCTCCCCGTCTCACTAGCCCCCTCTCCAACACAATAGCCCCCTCCCCAACCAATCAGCCCCCTCCCTAGCCTACCAGCCCCCTCCCCAACACACCAACCCCATCCCACTCCCTAGCCCACCCCTCCCCAACGCAACAACCCCCTCTCTAGCCCACCCTCCCCAACCTATATCCCTCTTCGGAAACTCACTTTTGCTTCGAATCTAGAGTTTTATGGTGATTTGGAGGTTCAATTTTGCAATTTGAAACCCTAGCAATTAGATGCGAAGAAGAAAGACAAAGAGGTGCATGATGCGTCTGCAGTCTGCGAGGGAGGTGATGCGTCGGCGAAATTCATTGCAATGGCGCCAACCTGGGGAGAGAGTTACTAGCGGCAAAAACGGGGGAGATTGTCTTCTCTGCTACCGGCGACGAGCATCGTGGGAGCTCTTGGTCTTGGACGCACATCGGCTTTGGCTGTTGTCTGGTGAGCAAACAACTGACAAGAGGGCCAAATGCCCAAATGTAGCGAAGGAGTTTGTCTGGTTGAATTAATCGACGATCATGCAACAAAAGGTACCAAAAGGTCTTGGTCACTTTTGGGGAAAATATAAAAAAGTCATATTTTTAGAATTCAAAAGACTAATAGTAATATTAGGGGTGGACTCGGGTCCGGGTCGGGCCGGCTGTTCAGAAATGGTGGACCCGGGACCGGCCCGGGTAACCACCGGGTCCAGTCCGAGTCCGGGCCGAGACGGGCCGGGCCCATTATAATTTTTTTTTTTGTTTTCCTCTTCCTAATTAACCCCCCTCCCACCCCGAACCCCCCAAACCACCCCAAATGGCCCAAAATACCCAGCCCAACCCGAAAATTTAAAAAAAATTGAAAAAAAGAATAGGTTTTGGCCCGAACCAGGCCCTGGCCCGACCGGGTCGGGCCTTGTTTTGGGTGACCCGAGCCCGGACCGGAAAACCCACGGGCCGTGCCTACCCGGACCGGTCACTGACCAGGCCACTGGGTCGGGCCGGGCCGGAACAGTACCGGTCCCGGGCCGGTCCCGGGTCGGGCCACCCGGCCCGAGTCCACCCCTAAGTAATATAGGGGGCATTAAATCAAATGAAAACTTTTCAAGTGTTAAATCAAGCCAAAATAAACATATATCATACCCATTACTTTTCTTATCCATGTTGGAATGCTTAAACATTTCATTTGTTTCTTTTCTTCTAACCACAAGTCCACAACAGGTAAGGCATTTGTAAGACAAGACATTTGTAAGGCAACACCAGACACATTGATTTTAAATACACTTCAATTTTTAGCTGGTGTTAACTGCAAATGACCACTTGTCAGTTACCACAACTAATGTCCCAAGTCGGGCCACCCCGACCCAGTGCATACCTACCAAGTAGTAGTGAGTCACATGCCTAAATGGACACAAGACTGTCCGTAAATTGACAGCGTGTAAAAGGTTAAGGTTCTATATATTTTTTGGGGGGAGGGGCAACTCATGAATGCGCATAAATTGACAAAAGTTCATAGATCCCCTAGTTATAATGAGTAAGCTGTTATCAAACATTCTCTATTGTTCGTTCAAGATACAAACAATACCCAACAAGTCAATAATCACCAATCACACGCCCAAGTCCAGTGATCAAAATCTGAAATAACTATTTGCGCAAACAATGCTTACGTGCCAAGGGAAAGCCTATCAAGTTCCAAGACACCCTGACTTTGAGCTTTCTTCATTTCAAGAGCCCTCTTGTAGGGAGGAGCAATTGGAGGCTGTACAGGATCTAAACTCTGATAACTTCCATCTGCATTCCTGGAGAGGGGATATGATCGGTCTGAGTCATACCCACTGAGGTCTCCGCAAGCCAAAAATGGTATATACACCTTGTTTGGTCCTTCCAGCCATCCACTACTACAATCTGCCATGTAACAATTGTCATTAAAAATTATTAGTGTTAGTTCACCACTTTACATGCAGATTGAAGAATAAACATTTTTTCAAATAGCAAGCACTTTTGTTGGCAATTAAGTATGAGTATAATTTTGGGCCATAAATGACTTAATGGGAAAGTTCAAATTTATGCCCTTGATGTTTGTTCAAGTGTACATAGAATGTGGGCCTTGTTTTTAGGCACATATATATGCCTCATGTTTGTTCCATGTGCAGAGTGGCCCTAAATATTATTTAGGCGTGAAGAAGGATTAGAAACAACAAAGCTCCTCTTAGAGTGGTTTAGTTCATAGAAGCTGAAACATATGAACCAAACAAAAGTTGTCACTTGGTAACTGCATAGTGCAATTAAATAAACAAAAAACAAATATGACATCTAACCAAATAATTAATAGAAGTATAAGACATTTGCATTTCAAAATTTTAAAAATACAGTACACTTTTGAATTTAAAGATATCACGGAGCACCACTCTAGAAGTCTAGAGGAGGGCCTACATGCTCATAAGTCATAAGAATTACTTGCAATGCTTATTTGCAACTAAAAATCATTAACGGGTCAATCTATGGAAGCAAGCATTAGAGAGTCAAAGACCTAAGATGTTTAATGGATAATCATCTATAGCTTAAGGCTAATTTTAGGCATTCAAAAGACAAGGTAAGAAAGAAGTAGCCAGCAGCAATAATTCATCATCATCATTACCCCAATGCCGCATAGACTCCCACCTACGATGGCGTAAAGGGGGATCGGATGTACGCAGTCTTTTACCCCTGTACTAAAGCACAGAGAGACTGTTTCCGGATGACCCATAATGAAAATCGCGTCGAAAATTGCATGGACCGACTGCTGCTTCATAACCAAGAAGCGCAAACAGTTTAATGAGTCAGTTTGCTTTATTCCATCATATTCTCCAGCCAAAAAATAGTGAGTCTTTGACTTCATTACAAATGATGTCAGCACTAATTTTAAGAAAAAAATAGAAACTCTGTTCAAGTGCTTTAGGAAAAGAAAGGGGGCCATGGGAAATAATATTACCTAAATCTTCCATGCCAGATGGACTCCCAACCTTTTCAAGAAGGCGATACAAATCTTTCTCGTTAAATCCTTCAGGTGGAGAATAGTTCTCACAGACTGCAAATGCTTCTGCATTTGATATAACATATGTTAGATCTCTTTGAATTTAATACAGTTAGGTGTTAAATATAAGCATGCATGTGCATCACGAGGGGTACAATTTTTTGGAGGGTGGAATTTTCCTGATTTTAATTAACTGATTTGAAAGCGCTATATATATAGTACACAAAAATAACTGACCTCCTGAAAAGAAATCATGTCGGATAAAGGTGCAACTTTTTAATTATCTATCGTAAGGTACAATGATGAAAAGTCATGTAATCCTATTTATATTTTTGAAAAGAACTTTTTTAACCAGATTCATCATATTTAACTTTTGTTTGCATACTTTTTGAAAGATTGCTTTAAAATGGAAAATGACTTTAAATAATACCGACTATTCACTATAGACTAAAAACAGTCCCAATTTGAGAAAATATAAATTGATAGCCAAGCAATTTTAATATTTACCAAAAAAATATGAGCATATATTCTGATTTAAAAAATAAGTTACAGACATAAATAATTTAAAATGTTGTTTATATAGCACAAAGAATACTACCAACTTAACAACAATTGGACATAAAACTATAGACCAGAATAAATTTAACATTGAAATCCAGCCACACATTCGACCAGGCGACCATCATGTCAGTACTTTAGCCATTGCTACTTTTGGTATAAATAGTTAGCTACCATCATGTCAGTACTTTAGCCATTGCTACTTTTGGTATAAATAGTTAGCTATCAATTTGTAATTTCTGTAGTTAGGATTACTTTTAGTCTATAGCCAATAATTGGTATCATTTAGAGACATTTTCCCTTAAAATTAGCTTCTTCGATGAAATGGAATTCTTTTTGGGACAAAAACAGCTTGTAAACTTGTCTCTTTTTAGGGGCAGTGTGTAATATATACTGATCCATAAGGCTATATTACTGCATTAAGATACTAAAATCAGTCCTTAATACTATCTAACACTCCAACATAATAATTACACATTGCCACCTCAAATCCAAAGGCGGCTGGCAAAGGAGTTACACTACATACCAATACTTGAATTGCGACTGCTTTTGGGCTTAGCAAAAGTAACTTCAGTGAAAAAAAGTTTGAGCTGCATCAAAAGGCAAAATAAGACAAACTGATCTAAACTAAGTCATAACAATCAGAAATTGTGGAACAGTGAGAATACACAAGTTATGTGTTTCCATGCGATTTTGTACAAAAAAAAAGACTACAACAGCTAAAGTATACTTTTAAGCAAGTAACCTGACAATAAAGAAGGCTTGTATCTTTTCCTCGAAAAATTTTGGCTATGAACTTTCCGCCTTGTTTTAGTATGTGAGTAACTATGGTCAAACCCTGCAAGTCATTTATGAGAAAAAATGTGTGCTAAGATAAGAAGTCGAAAACAATGAAACGAACATAGTTTGACATAGATGGAGGAAGGGATAAAGGCAAGGCTCTCACAGCCAATATAAGTTGGGACTGAACAAATTCATCCATATCATGGAGTCCAGTAACTGCAAGAAACACAGTTAGACAGAGAATCATGATCACAAGAAAGCAGTAGAAGTTAACAACTTAGGGTAAGTTCAGGTGGAGGATTTTGCAAGGGTCGGGAGGGATTTGTACAGTTAAGTCTATACCTTGATAGATAATTATGTGTTTGAGAATTTATTCAAAAATCGAGGAAAGTAAAGTAGTGATTAGTGGTCATATAACATTTTTATCATTCTTTATTTGATTTACAAAACATTCTATTTATAAAATTTAGCTTAAACCCTACCAAAGATTTCCCCTCCAGAACCCTCCATCCAACAAGACCCTTGGAAGAATAAAGTAGTTATGAATTTATGATTTATTTGTAATATTTACCGTCAGGTGCACCATCACAGACAACCAGGTCAGCTTTGCATCCATCAAAATGTCTAATCACCTGAAGCGAGATTTAAAATTAATGTTCAGGATGAGCAGCACAATTAGGACTTCACATGTACTCTTTTCAATTATGTCAAGTATTACGTCACACGACTCACACATATTTTCACCTAAACTCTCAATAAAAACATCAGAGAAAGAAACGGAAAAATCATACCACTTCAGCTGTTCTAGCATTTGTTATATCACCTTGTACTTGAATAACACCTTCAATTGGAGCCATAGGCTGCAAATCAATGGCTACAATAAGTGGTAGATCGTTGTCTCTGAAATCAATAACAAAAGATAAATTGGTTGGTCATTAGACTTTAGGAGTTCAGGGATGTGGGAACATGGATCTGATGAAATCATATATGGTATTAAACTATTAATTAATATGCCTGACATGATAATATCATTCAAGCTTCTATACTTATTTGTTGAAGTGGCTCTACACAAAATCAACGAACATCAAAGAGATAATTGAAAAACAAATCAGTGCGCTTACATTGAATCTTGGGAGAGTTTTGCTGGGAGATACAACTTCCGGCTCAAAACCTGTATATAGGTATTGTTATGTAGAAACAGTAAGTTTATTTGGATAAAGCAGCCTTTGAGAGTAAAGCAGTGTCCAAATACTAATAAGAAATGACAACTTAAAAAAGACTATGGCATCATTTGTTTTTTGGTGGTTGATTAGAAACGCTGGTCCCAATCCGCAACAAAAGTGCAGCGTTTATAGTTTATTTCAGCTTGACGTTTTGGCTGAAACGCCTATGTCCAAACATACCCTATGCTTTTTTTTCTCCAGGGGGGTCTGGAGGAGGGGGCTGGGGGCCTGGAGTAAATTGGGCAGAAACTCACTCCATCGAGTTTCAAACCCGAGACCTCTCATAAGGGAGAGTGAGTCGGCGACCAGCTGAGCTGGACCGCTTCCTCACCCTATGCTTTTTACAAATTTTTAATACCTGACTCCAGCTGCCAGGAGCTGCACACAAATCCACAACATGTTTAACTCCTGCAAATATAAGAGCATACAATCCAATTCAAGAAACCAATCAAGTAATAAAAAATAAGTCTGCTCGAGACCTTCACCAGGACCATAGGACTGAACGAGGGCTTGTGATGTATAGAAGCATAAGACATTACGGCTAATAAATACAATGATGAAATATAACAAACTCAATGAGGTCAGACAGCAAAGAATGAGATACTAAAGAATAAAAATCATTTGCATGATATTCTGATTGGAAACATAAGATTGAAATGAAAGCATGGTAGGATTACTACATAAAAATGCTTTATGCATCTGTGCAAAAACAACAATGTCAGTATTTGTATTATAAATTGGCCTAAGATAATAATTCCCTGGTCATTTCATCTACATAGGAAGAGCACAAGTTAGTAGACCTTAGTAATTCTAGAGTGTGATGAACTCATTCTTTTAGATCTTCATCTCAAAAAAATGAACACTATATACTTGTTCAACTCAATACAGGATTAAAAGTTATCAACTTTTTGCTAGATATCCAAACAAAACCTTCAAATATGTTAAACTCGTCATCAATCTGAAGGAGTTTAAAGGCACTCCTTGCACGCCACCCTTCTTCTTTAGCTTTCCGATAGTAAATGTCCTGCAAAGTTTGTTTATTTACACATTGAATCACAGTGATAAAAAACAAAAATTGTGAAAATCAAATGATATTTGAGCAGTAAACAAGATGCACCCTTTTATCCCTTGAAGCTTTTCCCATATTCCAAACTTGTGTGTAACTGATCACCTAGGAAGCCCCGGTTTTCAAATTGCATGCGTCACAGGGACAAGGTGGGCACAGGCTGTGGCGGATCTGCGGATCTACCACCTAACTTTTGGGTGTTCAAAATAACTTTAAATTATAATTTTGCACAACAGTATTATTTGATCCAACAAAGCAACAACTCTACACATGTATCTTTTACACATGTATCTTTACCAATAAAAAAACTACTAAATGAAGATGCACACTTAGGAGCAAATTAAAAGTAGGCAGTGATTAAGTTCCAGATGTTTCAGTTTGTCATTTCAGTCAAAAACCTACTCTTAGTTATAGTCAGTCTACTACTTGTAATGTTGTTGCTTCATCAAGTTGTAATAATCAAGTTTCATGTAATAAGTTTGTAAACAGTTTGTCTGCTTTGCAATCTAGTAGTGCTAATAATTGTACTCTTTGGCATTTTAGACTGGGGCATCCTCATTTTGAGGCTTTAAAGTCTATTCACAAACAATGTAATGTTTCTTTCCCTTCTAAGAATGAAATCAATTTTTGTTCTGCATGTTGTCTTGGCAAAGCACATCGTTTACCATCTCATAGTTCTACCACTACATTTACCTCACCTTTTGAACTCATTTTTACTGACCTATGGGGACCAGCCCCAATTTCTTCATTTGATGGATATTCTTACTATATATCTTTCATAGATGCTTATACAAGATATACATGGATATACTTTCTCAAAAACAAATCTGAAGCCTTTTCAACTTTCAAAAATTTCTATGCCTATGTTCACACTCAATTTTCTACCACTATAAAATCTGTACAATCAGATTGGGGAGGTGAATTCAGGCCTTTTACTTCCTTTCTTACTGAAAAAGGCATAACACATAGATTGATTTGTCCTCATACTCACCATCAAAATGGTGTAGTTGAAAGAAAACACAGATCTATTGTTGAAAAAGGTCCAAGTCTATTAGCCCATTCCTCACTTCCTTTCAAATTTTGGGATGCTGCTTTTGCTACTGCAGTTCATCTAATCAATAGAACTCCCTCAGCTTCTATCTCTAATCTAGTTCCTTACACTAAACTTTATAAATCTATTCCAGATTACACCTTCTTAAGAGTCTTTGGATGCTCTTGCTACTCTTTTATCAGACCATATAATAAACACAAAATTCAGTTTCATTCTGAAGAATGTATCTTTTTAGGATACTCTCCTCAACACAAAGGCTACAAATGCTTAGCTTCTACTGGAAAAGTCTATATATCCAAAGATGTTATTTTTGATGAGTTCAAATTTCCTTACTCATTTGTTTTCTCCAAAGACTACTTCTGCTCAATCCAACCTACTTACAAACACACCCTTAACAATTCTGCAAACTGATGCTGTGATGCATTCCACGGGAACACTTATCAGCGCCGCAATATCAGTGGCAGATCCTTGGCTGATTAAGAAGTTCATTATGGAAGGATATTAAATTCCTTTACAGCAGATTTATGATTTATTGTTTGATTGCTTTCCTTCATTAGATTAGTTAATTACTTTCCTTAGTTAAGTTGATTTGCAGCTTTATTGCTTTCCATCATTAGATAAGTCTATTTTAAGAATTGATTTAATGTAATCCTCTCCTTCCTTACTCGTTCTTGTAACCCTTACTATAAGTAGGGACTCCTGCTTTGAATAATAAACAAGCCAGAATTAAGTCTTATCAAGGAGAAAGGAACTCCATAAAATTCCTGAAGTTCTATCCCCTTCCCTGCCTTCCTTATTTTCCGTTATTACCTGCAAAAATAGAGGGATCTCATTTCCCTGCCCTCACCAATTGCCGGTTGACGCGAGCTCTAGCCTGGGAACATAACATTTTGGTTCCGTTGCCGGGCGTCGACATGGCAGAATTAAAGAAACTCCAGGAGGATCTCACCGCCACAATGCAAAAGGTTGACGCCCTTACTGTCTCAATGCAAAAGGTTGATGCCCTTACTGTCACTGTGAATTCCCTGACCGATGTTGTGAAGAACTTTGGTAGCCTTGCCAAAGTAATGGAAACTTTCATGGAGAAACACAACTCTACTGCTCAGGTAACCTCTTCCACAACACACACAATTCATGTCTCTTCCACCGCGTCCAAACTGAAATTAACCCTCCGACCTGTTACACCAAACCGGAGTTTCCTACTTTTATGGGCGCAGAGGATCCACTCGTTTGGCTACGTCGTTGTGAACTTTTTTTTATAAAGCTCCTCATTCTGATTCTGAAAAAGTTCACACCGCTGCGTACTACATGACTGAGATTGCTCAGTTGTGGTTTACAAAACGTCTACAAGATGGTGAACAATTCTCCTGGCTCCAATTCAAGAAGGCTTGCATCCTTCGCTTTGGGCCCCCACGAAGTATTAATCCTCTGGGGGAACTTGCAAACCTCAAACAACGGGGCAAACATATTGATGATTATATTGCAGACTTCCAAACACTTCTTTCCCATACTGATAATGTCCTCTATCGTCAACAAGTTCCCCTCTTCACTGCTGGCCTAGATGAAGCACTTCGTATTGATGTTGAACGAATGAGACCAGATTCGCTGGATGAGGCCATCAATGCTGCCCGAGATTATGCCCGCAAAGGCCAACTGTTGCGCACTTCTTCAGTCACTCGACAGGCTCACACATTCTCCCCAGGATCTGCAATCACCATCCAACAGTCCAATCAGTCTCGCCCTGCCCGCATTAAGAGACTGTCACCTACAGAGATGCTAGAGCGCCAAAAGTTGGGGCTTTGTTACTATTGTGATGATAAATGGATCAAAGGCCATCGTTGTAAACACCAATTGTATATGTTAGGTGTTGCTGATGATGAGGCGTCTAAGGAAGATGACGTGGGCAGTGACAGAGAACCGGAAATTTCCCTGAATGCCATAACAGGCCTTGACCATTCACACATGATGAAGGTTCGCTTAATCATAGCGGGCAGCCCGATACTTGCTTTAATCGACACCGGCAGCATTTATAACTTTATCAACCGCGCCACCGCGCAGCGTATTCAACTACCTATCACTTCAAAAACATGCCTCCAGGTTGCAGTTGCGAATGAGGAACGCGTGTCTAGCTCTGGTTTCTGCCACAAAGTCCTTTTACAGTATGAGAAATTATCCTTTCTCACCAACTTGTTCGTCATTCCCCTGGCAGGTGTCGAACTCGTCTTGGGTGTTAAATGGCTTCGTACATTGGGCCCCATTTGGTGGAACTTTGAGACTCTACAGATGTCTTTTATGTGGAAGGGTGAAAGAGTTGCCTTATCTGCGGAGCATGATACTACCTTTTCATCCCTCAATCACCTCCAACCACAATTGACTGAGATTGCTGCACTCGATTCACTCGATTCACTGCTCTCTTCATTTGAAACTATTTTCTCGGCACAAGTGGCACTGCCTCCTCAACGTCATTGTGATCATCGCATTGTGCTCTCAGTTGGTACAGATCCTGTGGTTGTTCGTCCCTATCGATACCCTCAACTCCTAAAGAATGAAATTGAACGACAATGCACGGAAATGCTTCAATCAGGTATCATCCGCGCATCACCCTTTTCTTCCCCAGTCTTACTGGTTCACAAACAAGGTTCCTCTTGGCGCTTTTGTGTGGATTATCACGAACTGAATGCGCGGACAATCAAAGATAAGTTCCCAATCCCGATAATTGATGAGCTTTTGGACGAATTACATGGTGCCAACATCTTCACTAAACTCGACTTACGATCAGGCTACCATCAGATTCGTATACACACCTGACATTGAAAAAACCGCGTTCCGAACTCATCATGGGCATTTTGAATTTCTTGTGATGGCCTTTGGCCTCTGCAATGCCCCATCCACATTCCAAACTCTTATGAACGAGGTATTTGGTCCTTATCTCTGAAAATTTGTGCTCATATTTTTTGATGACATTTTAATCTATAGCACTACTTGGGTTGACCATCTACATCATCTTAAAGTGGTCTTTCACCTCTTACAAACAAATTCTCTGTACCTCAAAAGATCCAAGTGTGACTTTGGGAGTCGGCGTGTCTCATATCTTGGGCATGTGATTGATGAATCTGGCGTGGCGTGTCTCATATCTTGGGTATGTGATTGATGAATCTGGCGTGGCAGCAGATTCCAGCAAAATCCAAGCTGTAGTAGACTGGCCCAAACCCATTTCACCAACTGCTTTACGTGGCTTTCTTGGCCTGACAGGTTTTTACCGCAGGTTTATTAAAGATTATGGCATCATTGCAACACCATTGACCAAACTCCTACGTCGCAATGCATTCCAATGGAATGAGCAAGCTGACGATGCTTTCAATACCCTGAAAACAGCACTATCATTTGCCTCGGTTCTACAACTTCCCAACTTTTCTATTCCTTTTGTCATTGAATGTGATGCCTCGGGCATTGGAATTGGCACCGTGCTGCACCAGGAAGGTCACCCCGTTGCATATTTTAGTAGGAATTTGGCAGATCATCATCTCAAACTTCCAGCATATGAGCGAGAATTAATTGGCTCATCACAGGCTGTGCGACATTGGCACCACTACCTATGGGGGTGCTCCTTTGTGATCAAAACAGATCATTATAGCCTCAAGTATTTGCTGCAACAACGTCTTACCTCTTCCTCTCAACAACATTGGATGAGCAAGCTTCTTGGCTTTGACTTTGTTGTGGAATATAAACTAGGAAAACTTAACATGGCAGCTGATGCACTGTCCCGAAGAGATGAAGATCATCACTGCATCTTTACAATATCCAATCCTCGTCCTGCCTTATTACAAAAACTGAGGGATGAACTTCGCACTTCACCAGATGCACTAGCTTGGTTGCAGCTGGCTGAGAGAGATAGTGTGTACTCTGTGCGAGATGGTTTGTTATTTAAGAGGAACAAATTATTTCTGCTACCTTCCTCAAAATTCATCGCCTTCGCCGAGAATTTTGTTGGCCCAAACTTGCAGCATCAGTCAGAGAATTTATCGCACAATGTGCTGTTTGCCAAAGAAATAAGTGGGAAAATACCAATCTTGCAGGCCTTCTTCAGCCTCTTTCTATCCCACAACAAATTTGGGCTGACATCTCTATGGATTTTGTTGAGGGTCTTCCCAAGGTTCAGGGAAAATCAGTCCTCTTGATGGTGGTTGATCGTCTGTCTAAATATGCACACTTCATTCCTCTGGCTCATCCATATACAGCAGCCTCCGTAGCCATGGTCTTCTACACCAACGTTATCAAATTGCATGGCATTCCAGAGACTATTGTCAATATCCGTGATGCAACCTTCACCCGTTCCTTTTGGCGTGACCTCTTCCGATTATGTGGTACCAAACTCTCATTTTCCACTGCTTATCACCCTCAGACTGACGGCCAAACAGAGGTTGTAAATCGCACTATATAAATGTACTTGCATTGTCTAGTTGGCGATCTTCCAAGGCGCTGGGTGGACAGCTTACCATGGGCTGAGTATTGCTATAATACTTCATTTCATTCCTCCCTGCGCACTACTCCCTTCAAGTTGGTCTATGGCCGTGACCCACCTCGCCTCTTACCATTTGAACCAGGGACTTCTAGGGTGGCTGCGGTGGATGAATTGCTCAAATCTCGGGATGAAATCCTCATGGCTGCTCGACATAATCTCCAACAGGCTCAAACCCGAATGAGGGATCAGTATGATAAGCACCATCATGAGGTAACTTATGAACCCAACCAATGGGTTTGGGTACGTCTTCATCACTACCGCCAGCAGTCATTAACTCGCCAGCGATTTCACAAGTTATCTCCCAAATGGTATGGACCTTTTAAGGTTTTGCACAAGGTTGGACTAGTTGCTTATAAGATTGAGTTGCCTGTGGATTGCCGCATCCATGACGTTTTTCATGTTTCAAAACTGAAAGCGTTTGTGGGCAGTCCACCTGATCATGCACCACCACTACCCCCAATCACAGAAGGTCGACTAGTCCTTCAACCTGAAGTAGTTGTACGCACCAGATCAAATTGAGGCTCTCCTGAAGTCTTAGTGGCTTGTGGTTTTCCTTTGGAAGAGGCTACTTGGGGTTTGGGAACCCCTGCACGATTTTAAACATCAGTTCCAATCTTTCAAGCTTGAGGACAAGCTTGATGTCCCGAAGGGGAGTGATGATGCATTCTATGGGAAGACTTATCAGTGCCGCAATATCAGTGGCAGATCCTTGGCTGATTAAGAAGTTCATTATGGAAGGATATTAAATTCCTTTACATCAGATTTCTGATTTATTGTTTGATTGCTTTCCTTCATTAGATTAGTTAATTACTTTCCTTAGTTAAGTTGATTTGCAGATTTATTGCTTTCCATCATTAGATAAGTCTATTTTAAGAATTGATTTAATGTAATCCTCTCCTTCCTTACTGGTTCTTGTAACCCTTACTATAAGTAGGGACTCCTGCTTTGAATAATAAACAAGCCAGAATTAAGTCTTATCAAGGAGAAAGGAACTCCATAAAATTCCTGAAGTTCTATCCCCTTCCCTGCCTTCCTTATTTTCCGTTGCAAAAATAGAGGGATCTCATTTCCCTGCCCTCACCAATCGCTGGTTGACGCGAGCTCTAGCCCGGGAACATAACACAAACCCCATCATCTTCATTAATTCTTGTATCAGACTTATCATCTCTTTCAGTCTCTCAACATAATACTACTACTCAACCTGAGCCATCTAATTCTATTTTTGAGTCATCTCAATCATCTAACTCTAACTCTGAGTCATCTCATTCTACCTCTGAGTCATCTCACTCTAATTCTGAGTCACCTAGCTCTAATTCTCCACCTACCATCACTGCTCCTATTTCTTTAGTTCCTTCTTCCAATGTTCATCCTATGAACACTAGAGCTAAATCATGCATAGTAAAACCTAGACTTAATCCAACCTTGCTCCTAGCTCATATTGAGCCAACATCAGTTAGACAGGCTCTTGACTCACCTGAGTGGTTTCAGGCTAAGCAGACAGAATATAATGCTTTGTTAAACAACCAAAATTAGACTCTTACTACTCTGCCTCCTGACAAACATGCCATTGGGTGCAAATGGCTGTTTAGATTAAAAGAAAATCCGGATGGTACTATTAACAAATTCAAAGCCAGATTAGTTGCAAAAGGTTTTCATCAACAATTTGGTTTTGATTTCAGTGAAACATCCTCTCCGGTGGTCAAACCTATAACTATCAGAATCCTTCTATCAATTGCTATTTCTAATCCTGGAGTATACAACAACTTGATGTTCATAATGCCTTCCTAAATGGTGATCTTCAAGAAGAAGTATACATGGTGCAACCACCAGGTTTTATCTCTTCTATCTCTTCTGACAAATCTCTAGTCGGCAAGCTTAATAAAGCTATCTATGGTTTAAAACAAGCTCTCAGAGCTTGGTTTCTTAAACGTACCTCAGCCTTATATTCCTTTGGTTTCAAACAGTCCAAGTGTGATGCCTCATTACTATTCTATATTTCTAATACAATTCAGATTTATGTGTTGATCTATGTTGATGACATTCTTGTTATTGGAAATAATACCACTGCTATTCAGCATCTTATTTAAAAACTAGACTCCAACTTCTCACTAAAGCATTTGGGAGAGTTTGACTATTTTCAGGGAATTGAGACTCAAAACTTTCTGATGGCAGTTTGCATCTCTCACAGACAAAGTATATCAAAGATCTTTTAGAAAAAGCTGGAATGAAAGATTCTAAAGGCATCACAACACCCATGCTCAGTAATTGTAAACTTTTGAAAGAAGGAAGCAACTATGTTCCTAATGCTACACACTACAGATCTATTGTAGGTGCTCTACAGTATGTTACTCTAACCAAGCCAGAAATTAGCTATGCAGTTAACAAAGTGTGCCAATTTATGGCATCTCCTTTAGAAGATCACTGGAAGGCAGTCAAACGTATATTAAGACACCTTTCTGGTACACTTAAACATGGTCTTCTTCTACAACCAATTCTTCCAAGATCTCCTATGAAACTAAGGGCATTTTGTGATGCTGATTGGGCTTCAGATCCCAATGACAAAAGGTCAACATCTGGTTCTTGTGTGTTCTTAGGACCTAATCTTATCTCTTGGTGGTCAAGAAAACAACTATGCGTAGCCAGATCTTCAGCTGAAGCTGATTACAGAAGTCTAGCTGACACTGCAGCTGAGCTCTTATGGATCCAGTATCTACTTCAGGAGATTCAAGTTCCATACTTTATGCCTCAAATTTACTGTGATAACCTAAGTGCAGTTCATCTAGCTCATAATCATGTCTTTCATTCAAGAATAAAACATATGGAACTTGATCTCTACTTTGTCAGAGAAAAGATTCTTCATAAAAGACTTCAAGTGCAGCACATCCCTGGTTCTTATCAAGTTGCAGATGTGCTGACTAAACCGCTCTCTGCATCCAGATTTACAGAGTTGAAAAACAAACTCAATGTGATTGAGTTTTCACACAAAATCACACTGAATTTGAGGGGGAATATTAGAAATGTATTTTGTTCAGTATATTGTACCTAACTAACTAACTACTGTTAGTACTATCTCGTGTGTTAGTTAGTAGTTAGCAATACTATTCCTTGTCTATAAATACTCTGTAAATCTTAACTATCCCAATCAATAATATTCCTAATCATTCTTCTATCCTTATGTTGCATTCTGTTTATCAATAATGCACGTTGCTAAATATAGCATAGTGGTAAAGTTAGAAACCATTCCTCAAATCAGTGGATAAACTTGGATGATTCACATATTCAGGTAGAAACAGGAATCTCAATATAACATGCCAATAAGCCCACTAATTAAATTCAAAACCTGCTAATAACCTTGCTTACATGCAGACCCTTTAGGTATCTTCCTTTATTATCTTTACCCTCAATAAGTAAGTTAGTTCCGTTACAAAATTGCAAGTCTAAATTTAGGGGGTGCGGAAAACAAAATGTGGATAAATACTTTATTACTCCCTCCGGTCTCAAAGGAAATTCACACTTTGACTTCACACAAATTAAGGAAATAAATTTGACTTTACCGTAGAGTACACTGTTTGACACTGTTTTGACGTAGATAATTTGCCAAATAAGGAAATGAGAAGAAGTGTGAAGTTTATTTTAGACCTACCCAAGGAAAGTGTGAATTTCATTTGGATCCAGAGGGAGTATATTTTTTAAATAGTTTTTGACACATGATGACATACTTGTCACAGCGTCGCTAAGTCTCCGCGCGTCCTGGCGCTAGGGAGTGCTAGCCGACTTCACTCGCTTAGCCAGAAAAAGAATTGTCCCTATAGTCGTCCTCTTGCCCCCCAGGTGTGATTTTGCGACACGTCGTCTCCTTTTTTCCCAGTCGAAAAACAGTCCACAGGCCCAGAACTTCTGATACACTATCTTCCATCTCATTATCAAATGCATATAAACACTGATAAGAACACTCAGTTTCAAAAGTAGTGGAAGATAAACTATCAAACATCCAAGAAACCCAAAAATGTACTCCCAGTGAGACAATAAGATACCTTTATATCAACTTCTACACAAATTCACAATAAAAAAAATCTAAAATCTAAAAAAGAAATAGAATTTGGAGAATTGGTCCAATTGGAGTTTACCTGGAGCGGCTGGAGGCTGGAGGCTGGAGCCTGGAGGGAAGCGCAGAGCCGCAGCCCGCAGTCAGCAGACTCGCAGAGGCGGACGACGCAGGTGGGCAGGTGGGTGGGGTGGCGGTCTGGCGGACGATGCAGGCGGCGCGGTTCACGTCTTCCTCGCAGGACGCAGGTTCACTCCGCCGTCTTTGCAGCTGCCAGCTCCTTCATCCTCGTCGCAGGCTCACTTAGTAGTTCGCAGGGCTTCAATCGGCAATCGAACATTAGCCGATTTGCGTAAGTCACCGAGAAGCGCAGGTAAGTGTTTTGTGTGGGTCGGGCTGGTAGTTAAATTTGGGCTGGACTGATAATTAATTTTGAAGTGGGTTCAGAATATTACATATAACTATACTAACTAAAAAAATTGGGCAGGGTTGAAGCTCACCCCTGCCCTCAAATAAATCCGCCCCTGCCCAGAAGAAAATAGATATAGATTTATGAAACTAAAAAGGGGATCTGATAATCTTAAGGACTATTTGTTGCAAGTGCCTATATGGTACATCCGATGCATGTACACCCGGCCCAACCAAGGTAGACAACCCAAAAACTAATACAGGTGAAAAATAATTCGGTGGCATTTTTGTAATTTAAGCGAAAAATCACGTCTTCCGCTAAATAAGCAATAATGTTTTTTTAATGAGAATCGGACCTATTTTATTGAGTATTTATGAGACTAACAATGAGTATCACAATCCCTGCTTCATTTCTTTTTTCTTTTATTAAAACTTAATATATTATATCTATAATACACTCCTATTAATTTTAATATCTGAGTCTAATGTAATATGATACTTTTAAAATATGCATTGATATCACAATTCAAAAATGAGCATAACATCAGTACCAAATGAGCATACATAACTTACAAAGTGCACATTGATATGAAAATCGTAAGGTTTGTTAGTTGAACATCGTGACATTTAAATTGAGCTTCAAACATGCGCTATATATTGAGATGAAAATCATGGTTTCTTGTGCATGAGCATTTATGAACTTTTAATGAGCATTAGACCTATTAAAATGTGCATTGATGCACTTTTAGTGAGCATCAGACATATTTTATTGAGCATTGGAAGCTTAACAATGAGCATCGTGATCTCTGCTTCATATCTTCTAATTCACTTTCTTTTTCTTTTCTCTTTCTTTTATAAAAACTTATTAAATTATATCTATAATCAACTCCTATGAACTTTAATATGCGAATCTAATGTAATATGATACTTTTGAAATATGCATTGATATGACATTTTAAAAATAACATAAATGAGTATCAACTGAAAATACATAACTTACAAAATGAGCATTGATATGAAAATCATAATTTTTTAAATTGAGCATTAATACATTTTCATTGAGCATCCAAACTCCTCTATTGAGTATTAGAAACATGCAATTGAGTATCATTATCAGTGTTGAACTATCTATTATTAACTCCTCTATAAATCTAATGTAGTATGATACTTTTGAAATATCAATTGCTATAACATTTTAAAATGAGCATAACACAGGTACCAAATGAGTATACAAAACTTACCAAATGAGCAATTATATGAAAATCATAAGCTTTGTTAGTTGAGCATCAAGAAATTTTCAGTGAACATCAAACTTTTTTTATTGAGGATCAGAAGCATTCAATTGTGTATCATGACCTCTGCTCCCATGTATATAATCTAACTCTTATGCGAATCTAATATGATACTTTAGAAATATGCATTAATATGACATTTTAAAATGAGCATAAAACCAATACCATATGAAATATGAAACTTATAAAATGACCATCAAAAAACTCAAAAATCTCGTTTGAAGTATCTAATGTGTTTAAATGTTCATTTGTGGACATATATTATAATGACATATATACTGATGGCATATATACTCATGACAAATATACAATTTTATATTAAAAATAATTTATAATCTTACGTTCTGGAACTATAAATATAATCGGGTTCTTTTTATAATATTTAGTCAAGCATATTTATTTTACATTATACTCATTTCAATATAACACAAAACTCATGTTAGTAATTAACACATAATATTTACTAATCTAATAAATTTTCATCTTAAATTGAAATTAGAAAAATAACATTATTAATATCTTAAATATTCATCATAAATTAAAATAATAGAAAAAGTAGTTAAGAAACACCCGAAAAAGAATAAAAAAAAGAACTACATAGAAAGCAAAAAAAATGGTTAAGAAAAAGCACTATGGTTGAAAAGCACTATGTAAAAAGGGTATGTCACCACGCGTCCATGTCTGCAAGGCCCGTAGTTCACATACGCATGGAAGAAATAATACATATGGAAGCATATAAAGAATTACAAAAATACCCGGATGTACAGTGAGCACCGTACATCCGGGTGTACGGCATAATTTGCCATTTGTTGTCATCGTCGTCTACACTCTAACTCAAGTCGTAGAGACAAGTCAGCCAAGTCGTTCGAATCAAACGAACCACAACAACTCCAGGAAGCAGAAGAACTCCGCGATCTCACCCTCCCTCCACCAATAAAATCACTCCACTTAGAGCAGATCAACTCAGACTAGACCAAATCAATTCAGACAAAACCAGACATGGTTAGTCATAAAATAGACTGAGATAAAACGTTTATCAGGTCAGACCAGTTCACATAAAACCAGTTTAGACTAGTTCAGACCAGATAAGCAAATTTCAATCTAAGTAAAAACATTTGTATACCCCAGTAGGCATTTTCCCCTCAACACATATGTTTTTAATTAAATGCATAAATTCTTACTTTTTAAGGAGTATACATATTATGATAATTTTACTTTTGCCAATACTTATGGTTTAACAATTCAAACATTCCAATGATATTTTTTTGTTACTTCAGGTCCATTTTTGAAAAAAAATTAACTTAGAGGCGTAGATAAAAATATTTTAACAATGTGATTATAATTTTAGGACTTGAATTTACTTAAAAAATATTGAACCTAAAGTAATAAAAATCTTGAATTTTGATGTCATATACAATATTGGTGTCATATGAAAGTTCATTAAAATCATGAATTTTGATATATATTTTTGTAAATATTAGAATATATATAAACAGTAATGACACTTTAAAGTAAATTAGGGATTTTATTTGAAGTGAGTCTTGTGACTTGTGACTTAATGGGCTGAATGGAAATATCGACTTATTCGCTCAGACATATAGTGATGTTTACTTGTAACTTAACGAAAAGTATGACTTATTCGCGCAGACACTTTATGACTTATTGGTTCAGCCCAATTTTAACACTCCTTGCTATTCAGACCTAACTGTACCTACGCACTCTCTTTTTTAACCTTCTTCTCCATTCGTAGATTTCATCGTTGAAGACATCTGCGACTTGCGAACTTCACCAACCGGACCAACGAACATCACCCATCGGAGGAATCTCACTCCTACCTTCTTAAGCTCGGTATTTCCTTGAAGTTCATATATGTTTTATATATTTTCTTTCTTAGATTGGAGCTTTTCTCCTTCTTCTTGCTCAGATTGTTCACTTCCTAAACATCAATCTTGTTTCGATTTTCTGGTAATATTAATATATATAGTTCGATTTAGCTCCAAATACCCAATAAGTTGTTTCTTTGAAGTACCTGCAATTGAATCGGCTCACCTAGCACCAGGTAATAGAGAATAGGCTGCTAGGGTATAAATTCACCAGGTAATAGAGAACCAGGTAATTCATTGAGCATTGAATAAAAAAAAAGTTCAGACAGACATGCTCTCAGTGACAGGGAAGGGCGTTCTGTTTTTTTTTTTGCCTTGGATTATTAGGTGATGGCAGGGGGAGATAATGAGCTCACTTTCTGACTTTCACACTTTAATTTTGAAATTAAAAACTAGTTGCTCCTTACCCATTTGCGATACAAAGGAATGTGGTGATTGCTTGTTTTGCCGTTCATAATTTTATTAGAAAGTCCAACATTGATGATGACTTTTTCAAAGAATGGGAAGATGACACTATAAGCAACAATGAAACACAAGAGGAACCTGAGAATATTGGAGAAGAAGTGCATGCAGCACAATGGGGCACCCAAAGTTTACAGTATATGATGAATTTGCGAAATGAAATCGCTAATAGACTAGCGGGAAACGTTTAAATTTAAAGTGTTGTTCTTGTTAAGACAAATGACTTTTTCTTATCATGTAATGCGACTTTTTAATTTTAATTATTCATAGCATTATTATTTTCAGGCATCTGAAATTATGTTTCTAAATAGAGAAAGTAAACAGACAATATACATTCATCACTTGTTCTAGACAGAAGGGTTGTTTGGTCATTTAACGTGATTCAGACTTCTCATTCAGCACACTTAATAAACAGTTTGTTATCTCACTATCACTTAATCCAGACAGACAACTTAATGCAGACAGACATCTTAATCCATTCAGAACTTAATGCAAAAAAAAGTTAACAGTCCCTTAGACCCTTTTTGGTTGGAGGGTTTTGGAGGGGAGAGGAGGAAAGTGGGGGATTATTGTGTGTTTGGTTGAAGGAAATAGGGGGGAAGGGGAGGAAAGTGGAAGACTTTCAAAATCCTCCACTTCCTCCCATTCTAAACCTCCCAAATCGGGGTATTTTGGAGGAAACGTGTTGATAACAACAAACTATCCATCTCTTACGTGAATGAACAAAATGTTATAATATAAAAAGGTAAAAAAACAAAAAGTTTTGAAAAATTAAAAAAATTAAAAATTTAAAAATTTAAAGATTAAAAAATTTAAAATTAAAAAATTAAAAATTTTAAAAATTTAAAAATTATAATTTAAAAATTTTAAAAATTAAAAATAAAAAAAAATCAAAAATTCCAAATTGAAAAATGAAAAATTATAAAATTAAAAAAGTAAAAAGTCAAATAAATTAAAGTTATGACTCATGATCATAGGAGTAATATTCACAATAGTTAGACATGTATCTATTTTTTTAAGTAAGATATCAAATAAAAGTAAATTACGAAAATATTTTCATTAAACCTTTCCTCCTATTTCCTCCAACCAAACACAAATTTTTATCAAAATTCTTCCTTCCCCTTCCATTCTCTTCCCTCCTTGAGTCTCCCCTTCTCTCCCCTCCTTTGAACCTAACAAGGCCTTAGCCTTAGTTATCTTCTTCCGCTTGTCAATTGCTGCGTAAGTTCTCTCTCTCCTAAGGTGAATGAAGGTGGCACCTTCCCACCCCCATCGATGCCCCTAATTCACTATAACACTTCCAATACAAATAAATGGTTGTGTTTGCCGCACATTTGGGTTGCAGCACATTTGTGTCTTTGCTCA